ACCCACTGCTCAAGCAGGAAACCCTACATCATCTTAGACATCTTAAAAGCATCCAGTGTTGGATAGCCACAATTCCTGAAGGCAAGTTGTTCCACTGGTTGGTTGTTCTTACTCTCAAGGATTTTCTTCTTAGTTCTAGATTGCTTCTCTCTTTGTTCAGTTTCCATCCATTGCTTCTTGTCTTGCCTTCTAGCACTTTGGAAAATAGGTTGACCCCTTCTTCTTTGTGGAAGCCCCACAAATATTGGAACACTGCTATCATGTCTCTCTTAGTTATCAGTGAAAGTTATGAGATGAGATAGTTATGAGATAACTATCACTATAAATATCACTAGTTATGAAATGGGTGGCAAATAAATTCAATTAATCAATCATATCAAATCCATAACATATTTTTATCTAATTTAACCTTTCTTTCAACTATAAATAACCAATAACAGACACCTCCTTTTAAACCCAATTCCCCTTTCAATTTGAGGGTAGGTTTACCCTCAAAATTAAAATTTAAAATTATTAAAATTATTAATTTTAATTAAAATTATCATAATTAAAAAGTATTATTTGGCCATAGGTCCACCAGTCTGTCCTCACCACTATCTCTTTTTGAAAGAAAGATTCCTGGGGTGACATCTAAACAGGCATATTTATGGAGAACTTTGCATTAATTCTAAACCTTTAGAATAACATGTATAACAAAATGGATGTTGAAATCGATATTTATTTTATCCTTATCATACCATAAGTAGGCAATCCATTCAAATCTTACTTCATAACCCTCCAGATCAAGCCATGATTTGGAGAGTGACCCACTCTTTAAGCCAGACCAAACAACAGACATCAATGTACAGTTTCAAATCCGATAAACTCAAACTCTTCTTTTTTTTTAGCATCTTGCAGTAATTTATATGTAATATTTGGTTTTTTTCTCTTGCTACAGTATATGAACTGTCCATTTGCCATACTTTAAACAGAGTATGGGTTATAAGTATTCGTAAAGTCTGAAATAGAAATAGCATCTTTGGTAAATCATTCATCTCGCCACCATTGTTAAGCAAATCACTGCAGTTTTTAAGTTAATACCACAACCATGATTACTGAAACTGGCTTGCCCATCACATGACCTTGCAACTGTCATAAATACATGCCAATTGCCAAGCATTCCACTTTAGATCATGTGACCACTGGGATGCGGCAATGGTTTTAAGTGTGTAAAATAGTCATAGGTCACTTTTTCAGGTTTGTTAACTACAATACAGAATGAAATAATTTACCAAATCCTTTCACTGCATCTTCAAAAATGGGGACGATAGGCCTATCTGCAAATGCATCTGCCTGGTTCACTAGAGCTTCTTTGACCGTTTCATAGCCAGTCAGCACCACCATCTCCTGGAATCCCAGTTTGATGCGAAAAATGGGACCATATTTTTTTGACCACTGGAATTAAACAGAAGAAAAACAAAGAGACCATTTTGATCAATAATTAGACTTACATACTATATGTAGAAGATGTTTAAGAAAGTGAACTGCAACTGCAACTGGGATGGCATGCATTTCTAGGGTATGAGGAGTATAAAACTCATAGATACTTTCAAAACCACTATGTAAGAAATTCAATCGAAATGCAATCGAGATATGATAAAGATGTGAAAATATATGGCTTCTATAAAGAACAGACATTGTTTGATCAGATATTGTTGACCTCTGATGAAAAACTGTTTAAGAAACTATATAACTTTCTATTAAATTTGAAAATGGAGGATGAACAAGTGAAAGATACAATGGGCAAAAAAACTTTGGATATAAAATAGAATTAGAGAAATGGCAAAATCTTTGGGAAAGAAATTATAAATTAACCATGACAACTTCTTATAAAGAAGACTTACATAAGATGTTTTATAGATGGCACTTACCACCTGCTAGATTAGCAAAAATGTTTAAAAATATGTCTACTAAATGTTGAAAATGTAAATCTGGCACATATTATTATTTGTGGTGGACCTATGTTAAAGCAAAAAACATTTGGACTAAAATACACATCTGGTTAGAAAAGATTTTAGGAAAACATGTAGATTTTAAACCTGAACTTTTCTTACTAGGTATAATATCAGAAAAATCTGATAAGGAAAGTGTATATTTAACATTGCATGTACTAACAGCAAAGAGGATTGTATTTGCTCAGCACTGGAAGAATGAAGAAACGCTACTAGACGAAGAGATAATCAAGAAGATATTGGACTGTGCTGAAATGGACAGACTTATATTGAGACTCAAAGAGAAAGAAGATCATCTAGGTCATCTAATCCATCTTCTTTACTGTGTTTTGTTTGGACAGAGACTTCTGATTCATTTTACTTGGTATGCTCTGTTTACAGAGACCTCTGAATTTAATAAGAATTTGTCATGTTTATCATGTTCACCACTGAAGCTCAGAGCAAATGGAGTTTTAGTGCTTTGGCTTGCCTCCAGTTTTTCCTCAAGTTATCTAACCACTTTATATTTATGGCAAGTATAACTTGAGTCCTCCATTTTCATGATAATTATGCCTGCACAAGAGATGCACTTATATTCCTCAGTTTGGAAAATGCCATTAATCCTTTTGTGTTGGAATTTCGTAAAAGAGAAACTGAGCCTCTGATATGTTGTGGAAAAGATCACTTTCCAACGGTGTCCCTAGTAGCTTTTGAAAGTAATCATAAGAATTCATTAAGGACAGAATTTAAAAGATATTCTACAAATGAATCTGAAAATCAGGGTTTACCTCTATCATTGTTCTGTAAGGCCTCTTCAGATCCATCATGTGCAGATTTCCCAAAATAGGTATGGTCCTGGGTCCTGGAGGGAGATTGGGGGAGCTGTTATTCCTGGAATTGCCCTTTTTCAAAAGGAACATAATTGCAAGAACAAATAGTAATAAAATTAAAGTTGCTCCAGTCCAATCCATTTCCTTTTAGTAAGTAGTCTTCAGTAAAAATTACAAGGAATTTTGAAAACTGAAATGATCCCAGCATGTATTTGAAAGCAAGGTATAAGCAGAGCCCAGCTTCTCTTTCTGCTGAATCCTCAGACTGCTCTGTTCAATAAAGGGCTTCTGAACTTTACCCTTGTTTTTTCCACAGAAATTTGATCTGTCCTTGCATGTATTACACAACTAGTGAAATCGGCAAAAAACATACCAAACCAGTTTCACATATTTGTACTACACAATAACCCAGATGTTTAGACGTATATAAATCTGTCTATCAGTCAAGTGGAAATTAAGGATATGCTTTTCATTTTTGCAGAACGGAATAGTTGTGAGATTGAATATTTTGGGAAGACGGGCTCTCTTTAGTTCAGCGCCTCTTGTTCTCAGTCCTTGATTCTGTTCCCTGGCTTTGACTGATACAGTGCACGTTCTATTCAAAAGTAGAGAGACTTTGGAACACCATGTTCAGGGAACTCTGCCTCAGAACAGTCCTCTTCGCAAAAAGACTGTGGTTCACAAAACAGCAGTGGGTGGATCAAAAGCTAGATCATTTTACTTTCTCTGTGTAAGGGATAATAAGATCAGAAACTGTTTAATGATCTTATGAAGAAAATTAATCCTAATGGCATAGCTGAAGCTTAAGCACAGTTGTAGAATGGAGTAACTTGGGCTTTTAGAAGTAGGGGCTTTGACACATGCAGGATAATTACTCTGAAACATGTAGGTTCTGTAGGAAGCTAGGCATAACCGCAAGCAGAGGAAACACAAAAATAAAGATAGGGCTTAGGCTAGCAAAAGGTTATGGTTAAATGGTACAACAGGTGTGAGGGGCTTTTTCCTGGGAGGGTACGAATAAAATTTATTTTGTTTAGATGCTTCGGATTAGCATATGGGGGGGGGGAGGAGAAGCAGATGGGCTGGAGTGCGATGGGGTTGGGGAAAACCAGCATCGTGAAAAGGGTTTTAAAATGTGATTTTAACAATTATTGATGTGGCTTGATCTCCTGAGAGAGACTAAGACCACCAACTTTTGCAAAAGTTTTAAATCTCCCTAAAACTCTGTTCCTGGAATCCCAAGTGAGTATTTCAATTTATTTGTTTTTAAAATTCTGAGCAAAACGGCCCAAACATCTGTTTAATTGATGTGGGAATTATACCCTTGAATTTCTACATATATGCAGGTAGAAGGGACATGAATTTACTAATTTTGTCCCATCCTTGCTTTGTTTTGGCAGCACAGAAAGAGTTTGTGGGCAGGTGAAGCTGTTGCAGCCACTGTCCAGCAAAACAGATTGTGAGAAGGAGGTGAAACTTATTTATCCTTCCCTCCCTACTCATATTTAGACATGACTCAGTTTAGTGACAAATGAGGAGTACTATATATATATATATATATATCCATTACGCCCTTTACTTATTTTTATTATATTTTTGTTTATTTTCTGTCTATTATTTCTATAAACAACCACTCAAACTGATGAACATACCCAGTGCTCCTCCCTCCTCTGATTTTCCCACAATAACTACCCTATGAAATGGGTTGGGCTGAGAGAGATTGGCCCAAAATTGTTTGAATTGTGCTTTAAATGGAAGTTTAGACAAAGATTCCAAATTTTAAAGGATTCCACAGTCATCAACTAAGATGCCTGAACAGTTTGGAAAACTGGTCCTAAAACCTGAAGGACCTTGGTTGTATGTTAGAGAAGAAAATATTATAAAGGTAAAGAAAATAAAACTGTTAGTGATAATTTTAAAAAGTCATAAGGAATTTATTTGGAGGTTTTGACTTGCTTAAGTATATTCAGTAATGTTTCCTCTTCAAGGTGAGAAGGTAAGGCTGTAATCTAAATACATTGGTGGTTCACACCAAATAATACAAAGCTATGATCTTTTATGTAAGCATTTCCCCATCTTTTTCCTTTTTTATTGAATATTTGTATCCAGAAGAGAGATGGACTAAGGATTGCTATGAGTTTACATTTCAAATCTTACAAAGAATGAAATCCCCTAAATGCCGCTGAAGATGTTACCTGGTCTGGCAATGAAACGTTTGGAAACCAATCCACAAGCTTGGAGAACAAACCTTCACCCTCAAAGAATGAGATGTTGGGTGCAGCACATAGAGATGAGTCAAGGTCATATCATGGTTGGAATACATTATTCTTAATGGAACAGTCTCTTCAGTCTTGGCTCATATTCGAATGTGATCTGCTTGATGCTCTAAGAAATAATAATGGGGTGATGATGTGAATCCTTAATGCAGAAATATCTTATACCTCTCTCTTCATATTCGTTATATTTTAAGATCCTTAAAATATAACTGGGGGGGGGGTAGTGGCTCAGTAGTTAAAGATGCTGAGCTTCTCAGCTGGAAAGCTGACAGCCCAGGTTCAGGGTGAGCTCTCTTTCTTGCCCCACCTCCTGCCTACCTACAATAGCAGTTCGAAAGCATGCATATGGATGAGGCTGTCAGCAGACCCAGAGGAAGGGAGAGAGACTTTTGGAGGAGTTGGAGGTGGCAGCAGGCAGCATGCTCACAGTCCCTTGCCCAGGGAACTGCTTTACGCCTTTTCTCCCTTGCCACTCCTTTCCGCTACGATCCGCAAGACTCTACACAAAGGAGCGGAGATCCTCCTGATTGCACCACATTGGCCGAGACGTCCATGGTTCGCCGACCTGGTAGAGCTCTCTGTCTCCCCACCATGGAGGATTCCAGCAGGTCGTATTTCCCTCACTCAGGGGACACTTCAACTTCCGGATCCTCAGTGGCTCCAGCTAACCATTTGGCACTTGAAAGGCAGGCCTTGAGCCGAGATTCTTATTCATCGAGGGTGATAGCCATGATTCAACAATCCAGGCACCCCTCAACGAATAGGATATATGATGCCACATGGAGGAGTTTCTGCATTTGGTGTTCAGGTCATAAAGTAGAGCTCTCAGACATCTCTGTTCCAATTGTCTTGGAATTTCTGATGGATGGGTTGGACAAGGGACTATCTCCAAGCACCATCCTCAGACAGGTTGCAGCTCTTTCTACAGTACTCGTGCATGACAATACCACTCCCTTGACACACCACCCTATGGTGCGCTCCTTTTTAAAGGGAGCGACTAATGCCAAGCCACCAATGGTTCACCGTTACCCTTCTTACAGGCCCTCCAGGTCTTACAGGCCCTCACTTCACCGCCGTTTGAGCCTATTACCACATTCTCGCTTAAACTATTATCTATGAAGGTGGCTTTTCTCATGGCGGTCACATCAGCCAGGTGAATTTCAGAACTGGCCGCTCTTTCTATCAGAGAGGACTTGTGCATCTTCCATGCCGACAGGGTGACCCTCAGACTAGACCCTTCCTTTATTCCCAAGATAAATTCCTTATGCCATAGGTCCCAGGAGGTGGTTTTACCAAATTTCTGTCCTAACCCATCCAATGACCTTGAGAAGCAGTGGCACACACTTGATGTTCACAGAGCTCTGTGACATTACATCAAACGGACTTCGGCTTTCCGTAAATCCGAAGCATTGTTTGTATCCTTTCAACCTTCATCCATGGGCCAGAAGGTCTCTTCCTCAACAATAGAGAGATGGATTAGAGCCTGCATCACCCTAGCATACAAGATGCAATCACTGACAGTTCCTAGGCATATCACGGCTCATTCTACCCAGAGCACCACTACTTCAGCAGCTTGGGCGACCCAGGCATCTATTGGAGAGATTTGCAGGGCAACTACATGGTCCTCGCCCTCGTCCTTTGTCCGTCACTATAAGATTGACAAATATGCTTCTTCAGAGGCCTCCTTTAGTTGCAGGGTGTTGCAACATGTGTTGTTATCTAGTGGGACCCAGGCCCAAACTAATTCCCCCCCTTAGGGACACAGGGCTTTGGTATGTCCAATCCAATCTGGTATCTCCATCCAATCATGCTGGAGAAGGGGTGTTGTCTTACCTGAACGCCTTTTCTCAACATGATGATGGAGAATCCACTCCGTCCCATCTAGGGTCAGTTTGTCCCTGGTTCCGATGTTAGGAAAGCACACGTATCGGACTAACGTCTATGTATCGCCTTAGTCTCAAACTGGGGTGCAATTGCATAGCAGAGGCGTATCTACACTTCAGACTTAGTCTTATTGGAGCAGGAAGATTAAGACAACCCACTTGTGGATTCTCCATCATTATGCTGAGAAAAGGCATTCAGGTAAGACAACGCCCCTTTTGGCTGAATGCTGTTGGCTCATATTTAAGTGATTTCTACTAGGATTCCAAGATCCCTCTCATAGTTACTAGTATTGAGCTAAGTTTCACCCAATCTGTATCTGTACAAATGTTTTTTCTTGACTAAGTGTAAAATCTTATTTTTATCTACACTGAATTTCATTTTGTTAGATAGGGCCTAGTTTTCAAATCTGTCAAGATCCATATGGATCTTGAGCCTATCTTTTGTGGTGTTGGCTATTCCTCTAGCTTAGTGTTGCCTGCAGATTTGATGAATCCCCCATCTATTCCCTCATCGAAATAATCGATGAAGATATTGAATCATATTGGGCCTAAAATGGAAACCTGGTGTAATTATTGCCCACCTCCCTCCATGTGGATGTAGTTCCGTTAAGGACTACACATTGAATATGATTTGTCAGCCAGTTACAAATCCATCTGGTGGTGCTGCTGTCTATCCCACATTTTTCTAGCTTAACAAAAAGTGGATTGTAGTCTACTTTGTCAAATGCCTTACTGAGTTCTAAGTATATTATGTCCATAGCATTTCACTGATCCACTAATTTAGTAACTTAGTCAAAGAATGAAATAAGATTTGCAGGCATGATCTGTTTTTAACAAATCCATGTTGGATTCTAGTTATAACTTGGTTTGCTTTTAGGTGTTTGCAGATTTGTTGCTTGCTTATCTTTTCTAAAATCTTCCAAGGTATTTATGTCAGCCTGATTGATCTGAAGTTTCCTGGATCTGTTTTTTTTTTTTTTCTTCCTTTTTTGAAGATAGGAACCACAACATCTCTTTTCCAGTCCTCAGATACTTCCCCAGTGCTCCAAGAACTTTAAAAGATATGGGTCAATAGTTCTGAGATCACATCTGCCAGTTCATATACATGAATATACATGTACTCTATATTCCTAGCCCAGTTTTCTTTGTTTCATCAATTTGACATGCTTTGTTTTCTGTGTGTTTCTTAAGATTAACATTATCAGCTTTAAATGTTTTGAGTTTATTAAAATTCTTTCTATTTATGATGTAAGTTTAGTCTATTTTCCTTTAGTGAGTACAGTGTTGCCTTCCCTATCTAAAATTAATTCTTGCTTCATCTCTTTTTTCTTCATTCAAATAACACTACAGATGCCAACAATACTTTTCCAGTCATTTTTATATATTTATTGCAAACCAATGAAATGAAAGTACTTACTTTGAATTTCTGGATACTTCATCATTAGGATTATGGCCCAGTGCAGAGTGCTTGTTGTCGTTTCTGTACCAGCAACAAATAAATCAAGTGCAAGGGATTTAAGGTTTTCATTATGGAAATAACCATCTTTTGTCATCTTCATATTCTCCTGAAGTATTTAAAGAAAATACTGTAAGGGAATCTGCATACTCAATATTCCTGAATTCTAAGAGACTTCATATATGGATAATATCTTCCCCCAAAGGTTACAGATGCCCAAACTGAATTTTGGGATGGACAGAAGGAAAACTCTAAAACTCTAAAAAAAACAATTATACTGAAAGAGAAAACATTGGATCACCCACTCCCACTCCTACTAGGAGACATTCCTCCAGAAAAGGATCAATATTTATGGCATTTTAATAGAGAGAAAAAAAGCAATCTGGGTGTAATTTTAAGCAGCTGCAGATTCTGAAATAAAGTATTGAAGAGTTTAGAAATTGCTTTAGAAATTTGTTTTCTTCCACATTTCTGAAACAAGGGTCTTAATCAATCAGCAGATAGTTTATATGGAGACTTATTTTAAAATATGTAAAAAAATATAACCAGTAGTTACAGCAGTGGTTCTCAACCTTCCTAATGCCACGATCCTTTAATACAGTTCTTCATATTGTGGTGACCCCCAACCCCCCATCCAGCTGACCGGAAGGGGGGTCAGGAAGGCTGCTCCACTGGCTCCGCCCAGCCTGGTTGGAGAAGCACCCAGGCAGGGAGAGGGAGAGGGAGAGGGAGAGGGAGAGAGAGAGAGAGAGAGAGAGAGAGAGAGAGAGAGAGAGAGAGAGAGAGAGAGAGAGAGAGAGAGAGTGCCAAGAGGGCGACAGCACCAGCAGAGCTTAGTTCAGCCTCCTCCGCGGAAAGGGCTGCGAAGCAGCACAGCCTCCCTTAGGACAGGGGTAGGCAACCCAAAACACTCAAAGAGCCACTTGGACACGTTTCCCACCGAAAACAAAACACTGGGAGCCGCAAAACCCTTTTGATATCTAAAATGAAGATAACACTGCATATATTTTTACCTTTAATGTATGTATGTATGTATGTATGTATGTATGTATGTATCTGTGTTTGTGTGTGTATATATAAAATAAAGGTAAACAAGGATATATGCAGTGTTATCTTCATTTTAGATGTCAAAATGGTCTCTCTCTGTCTCTCTCTTTCAGCTCTTTCCTTTCTCTTTCCTCTCTATCCTCCCTCTTTCCTCTCCCTCTCTCTCTCTTTCCTCTCTTTTTTCTCTTTCCTCTCCCCCTCTCTCTCTTTCCTCTTTTTCTCTCTTTTCTCTCCCCCTTTCTCTTTCTCTTTTCTCTTTCTCTTTCTTTTCCCTCTTTCCTCTCTTTCCCTCTTTCCTCTCTTTTTCTCTTTCCTCTCCCCCTTTCTCTTTCCTCTCTCCTTCTTTCTCTTTTTCTTCTCTCTTTCTCTCTCTCTTTCCTCTTCCTTTTTCTCTCTCTTTCCTGTCTCTCTTTCTCTCTTTCCTCTCTCTTTCTCTTTCCTCTTTCTCTTTCTCTCTCTCTTTCCTCCCTCTTTCTCTTTCTCTCTTTCCTCTCTATTTTCCTGTTTCTCTCTCTTTCCTCTTTCTCTCTTTTCTCTCTTTCTCTTTCTCTTTCCTCTCTCTTTTCTCTTTCTTGCTCTTTCCTCTCTCTCTCTTCTCTCTTTCTTTCCTTTCTCTTTCCCTCTTTTCTCTCTTTCTCTCTTTCCTCTCCCTCTCTTTCTGTCTTTTTATCTCTTTCCTCTCTCTCTTTCTGTCTCTCTCTTTCTCTCTTTCCTCTTTCTCTTTCCTCTCTCTCTTCTCTCTCTCTTTCTCTTTCCTCTTTCTCTCTTTCCTCTCTTTCTCTTTCTCTCTCTCTTTCCTCTCTCTTTTCCTCTGTTTCTCTCTTTCCTCTCTCTCTTTCTCTTTCCTCTTTATCTCTCTCTCTTATGGCAGCATCGTCAGGGGTCCCCGCCACCCCCCCCGGCCCGGCCTCCGCCGTGTCCTCAGCTGAACAGGTGGGGAGGGGGAGCAGGACGGGAGGCAGTGGCTCCAGCTGGAACTCCGCGCTGCCTGGCCTCGCCCTCTGTCCATCCGATGGAGCTGCGGTGGGGGCTGCTGCCGTGCAGCCCCTGCCAGCCCCTCTGCCAGCCTGGCTGCTCTCCCCAGGCACTTGTCTTGTCCCGGCACCCGCCCAAGCTGCCTGGGGGGCACCAGGAGGAAAGAGAGGAGGAGGGTGAGGAAACTGCTGCCACTGCCCCAGCTGGGACTCCGCACTGCTACGCCTCGCCCTCTGCCCATCCAATGGATCTGTGGAGGGGGCTGGTGCCGCGCAGCCCCTGCCAGTCCCTCCGCCAGCCCGGCTGTTCTCCCCCAGGTACCCCTCTTGCCCCAGCGCCCGCCCGAGCCACCTGGGGGGCACCAGGAGGAAGAAGGAGAGGAGGAGGGCAAGGAAGCAGCCACTGCCGCCCCATCCGGGACTCCGCGCTGCCCGGCCTCACCCTCTGCCCATCCGATGGAGTTGCAGTGGGGGCTGGTGCCACACGGCCCCTGCCAGCCCCTCCGCCAGCCCGGCTGCTCCCTCTCCAGGCACCCTTCTTGTCCCAGCGCCCACTGGGGGGCAGCAGGAGAAAGAAGGGGAGGAGGAAGAGGAGGGCAAGGAGATAGAGGAGATAGTGTCTCAGTTCCTAAGACCATCAAAAATATGTGTTTTCCAATCGTCTTAGGCGACCCCTGTGAAAGGGTCATTCGATCCCCGAAGGGGTCGCGACCAACTGGTTGAGAACCGCTGAGTTAAAGACATGTATGAAATAATCCATTACCTGTCTTTGCCGAATAAGAAATGATTCAATAAAATTCCTCTCGTTATATTCATCAACGTCTTGGAGATATTCTATGAAGGTGGTATGTATGAAATCATGGAGCTCCTTTTGGTTCTTCATTATTATTTGATGAGCACCCAAAAGGACCCCCAACTTGGGAAACAAATTATATAGCTGAAACAATGGTAAAGGAAAACACATATTATGGAAGTGAAAACTTTTAATTTCTCAGATAGACATCTCAAACATTGTTATGTTCTCCAAGTCTACAAAATGGAGTAATAAGCAGATCACATGGCTGAATTAGCTTTGGATAGTCAATTTTGTTAATTCACCTAGCCCCATATCCCATGGGCTAAACCTCCACACAGGTTTTGGAAGAGAAAGTCTTATTTTCTACCATAGTATTGAATGAGCACATGTGCTCACATTGTGTTGATTCCCAAACAAACAATGCAAACCATCAACCATAAACTCAAATAAAACCATAGTCAAGAGAGGAGTTGTAAGGACCCATTTCAACTAATCACCCAAGAAAGCAGAACTCTTGAAACAGGCATTGTCTCAAAAGGATACTTGAATGTACAGTGTTATTGTAAGCAACCTCACCAAATGGCAGCAAGTCAGTCCAGTTGTCCTGTTGATAATTAATAAACATCTCAAATATTGTTCTAGAACTAAGTTAAGTATCTCTGTCCCTCCCCCCAATTTGTCTGGGGATGGTGGAAGGATGATAACCCTTGATTAGAACTCATTAGGTCTAGAAAATCTTTCCAGAACTTGGAAGTGAATTGTACTCCCCGGTCTAAGATTATGTGATGTAGTGCCCCATGAAATTGATATATATTCTGTACAAAAAGTTTGTTTGGATTTTTGCAGTAGGAATCTTAGGGCATGGGATGAAGTAAACTTGTCTGGAGAACAAATCTGTTACGACCCAAATCACAGTATTGCCAGCACTTTCAGGCAGTTCCACAATGAAATCCATAGATATCTCTCCAGGGTGCTGACAGACTGGTAACTGGCTGCAGTAACCTAGGGGATTTCCCTTTTTGTCTTTTTGCTGCAGCAGGAGTGGGGCAGTTAGCCACATAACTTTCTATGTCCTTTTTTAATGCAGGCAACCAGAATTGTCTCTTAACAAGATGCAAGGAATTTACAAAACCAATGTGTCCAGCGGTTTTTGACTCATGACCCGCTTACATTACTCTAGGTTTCCCATTAATATTTATATTTCATGTTATAATCCAAATTTTCAATAACCCCAATTCCCTTTATCACAATTCATCACAAGATCTAATGTTCAGAATACACATCTTATCTATTTGAGTTCTCACCATCTTACACCAACTAATTAATAATACAATATAATATTCTTATTTTCTGGTAATTTCCATATATCGTAAATTTAGTAGCCAAAATTCCTCCTATTTAAACATTTAATACTTCCTGTCTTTTTCTCTTAATATCTACTATCTCACATTTAAGCTAATAATTCTTATTATTACTGCTAGATTAAAAAATATTTATTACATTCATCAATTGGTTTTTAGCTTATATATAGTGCTTTTTTTCTTTTAAAAAAAGGTGCCGGAATTCACACATGTCATACAATCTGCCTTGCCTACCCTACAAGGTTCCATCCAAAAAAGGTGCCGGAACTCCGTTCTGGGTGCCCTGCTTTTATTATATATATATATATATATATATATATATATATATATATATATATATATGGAAGTGTCTTGGCGATGTTTCGACGAAGTCCCATTCGTCATCTTCAGGCTGGTGTTTTCAGCTTCGTGCTTCGAGCAGCAATGTGTGGTCTTAGCTATTTCTTCCTTTTAACTGCCAGTGGGGGTATGAACTGATTGGGTGGGAGCTTGGCTGTGTTCTGATTGGTTGGAGGTGTGTTCTGATTGGTTAGGGGCGTGGCTGTGCTATGATTGGCTGGGGGGTTGGCTGTGCTCTGATTGGCTGGGGGGCTGGCTGTGCTCTGATTGGCTGGGGGAGTGTTCTGTTTGGTTGTGCTCAGGTTAGTCTGAGTTGCAGAGGGGTTTAATATTTTGGGCTGCCTTGCTATTTTTTGGCTTCGCGTTTGTGGTCGTGCCTCATTTTCATGGAGGGTGTCAGTTTGCTTCATGTATGGATTGGAGGGCTTTAAAGTGGCTAATGATGCAGCTCTGGTCTGGCTTATGGTTTGTGGTCGTGCCTCATCATCGGTGTGGCTTTGGGTTTGCTTTTTGCGTGGATGTGTGGTGGTGACATCCTGTGTGGTTTTTGTGAGTGTGGGTCTGGTATCATTTTTTGTATTAGGGAGTCATTTGTCAATAAGGGCGGGTTTCCAAATGGCTGGTAGGCGGGAGGTATCATCTCGCTTGTTCATGCTGTGTGGGCATTTTTCTATTTCGATGGCTTCTCTGATTATTCTGATTATTATTAACAGAATAATCAGAGAAGCCATCGATATATATATATATATATATCTGGATGATAGTCCATGGCGCCTGATGAACTTCATAGGGTAACCATTGTGCCTGCACACCTTAAAAAGGTGCTTCTTTTCTTCCGTCCTAACAGTTTACGGAAGAGGAAGAGCACCAGGGTGAGTTGGCATTTCTTGATGTCCTGGTCCACCGCCAACCTAATGGAACCCTGAAGATCAGGGTCTACCGCAAGTCCATGCACGCAGATAGAATTCTACACTATGATAACAACCATCCAGTGGCCCACAAGGCCAGCTGTATTAGAACACTCTTCAAGAGAGTAGGCTCCCACTGCAGCACTGCCAAGGCTAGGACGGAAGAAAAGAAGCACCTTTTTAAGGTGTGCAGGCACAATGGTTACCCTATGAAGTTCATCAGGTGCCATGGACTATCATCCAGACCCTCCCTCCCCATCAGGTCCCAAACAGAAGAACATACATCACAGAGACTTCGTATCACTCTTCCGTATATTACACCATCTCAGAAGCCACGGCTAGGATATTGGCACCCTATGATGTGAGGGTGGCACATAACCCCAACCAGACGCTGCGATCTAAGGTGATGAGATTGAAAGATCCACTCCCCACCATAGAGAAGTCCAATGTCATTTACAGGATCAACTGTGAAGGTTGCTCTGCTAATTACGTGGGGGAGACCTCCAAACGTGTCAAAAGTAGAATTCACGAGCATAAGTTGGCAGTAAGGAGAGGCGACCAGTATTCCCAAATCGGGGCGCATATGCTAGAATCTGGGCATAGGTTCGATTTTAGCAACGTGCAGGTGATTGCCAGTGACAGCACGAAGGGGGGGCGGCTCCTTAAAGAGGCGTGGCTCTCTAACGAAGAATCCATCAACAGACATGTGGACCTATGCCCAGCACATGTAATATTAAGAGCATGGGCAATGCACGACCGTCCCTCCGGAGAAAAACGATGTAACATTACGTGCCTTTGGCAAAGAGGGTTGACGGAGGAGACGGGCCTTGGAAACACCCAGACAGGGAATAACCAGCAGCAGAGTAACTCCCTACCTGCTGAAACATATGCCCCTCCCTCATGGATACAGGAGTGGATTGACAACCAAGAGCCAAGTGCCGATGAATTGAGGGTCTCCCCGGGAACAGCGAGGAGTTTGACAAAAAAGCGATCTGGTATAGACTTTGGGTTATTAAACAATCATGATTCGAAGGATTGGAATGCCACGTGTAATTCCACCGGCGATCATGCAACTAACTTTATTAATGACATTTCTCGTTTGAATTGTTATTGCCTTGGGAACGCAGGAGAACAACGGCGAGATGAGAAGCCTGTTCGCTATAATCTTAGAGTTTCCGCACGCTCCTACAGACATTTGAGAGGTACGACTCCCCGTAGGAATGCACAAGGAGATGCAAGTCACAACTGTAAGGATTCCGCCCCTCTCCTTTTAAAGAAGATTGCATACCCCCAAGTAATGAGCGAATACACAAACAATAGTGAAGGGACAGCTCCCTCGGAAAAAGGGGTCAGCAATCAATTTGTGGGTGCCACGAATTCTGGAGAGGGTGTTAAAATCACCCCCATTGAAGAGAAAATAGAAAGGGGAGTTAATAAAGTGATACGAAGGATCGGGAAACAGGATGATGTAAACACAATGGAATCTTGGGCTACAGAGACAAACAATGAGGATATAGTTTTGAAAGAGGATCGTAAACAGAGAAACAGGGGGAGGAGAAGAGAAATAGAGAGTACCAAGAAGGAGGATGAGGTGAATAAACAACATAAACAAAGACAGTGCACATCTAATTACGTGGAATTAAGGAGTCCCCCCGACTTTTCAGTTATGCAAAGAAGGGAGGAAGAGCTGCGGTACCAGCACAAGTAAGGAAAGTGAGGAAATTACAGCTTGCAACACAGAAACTACGATCATATATATATATGGCGTTCTTTGCGCCCGGCTTCTTGACCTCGTCATGGGTCCCAGCCAATCCACCTGCGTTTTGATCGTAGTTTCTGTGTTGCAAGTGTAATTCTGTGTTGCAAGCTGTAATATATATATATATATTCGCGGGTGTTTGTATGTAGGTCTTTGGTTATTCGGGTTTTCTCCCACGTAAAATTGGAAGTGTCTTGGCGACGTTTCGACGAAATCTCATTCGTCATCTTCAGGCTGGTGCTTTCGGCTTCGTGCTTCTAGGAGCAATGTTCTTATGTTCTTCAATGCGTGCACTGAAGAACATAAGAACTACCAACAGAAGAATAAGTGCACGCATTGAAGAACATAAGAACTCAGTCAAAAAAGAGGAACCAACATCTTCCCTGGTCCAACATCTTAAAGCCACAGGACATGAAATTGACTTTAAAAATACCAGAACCATTGCCAAAAGTGAACATTTTAATAACAGAATAATCAGAAAAGCCATCGAGATAGAAAAACGTCCACACAGCATGAACAAGCGAGATGATACCTCCCGCCTACCAGCCATTTGGAAACCCGCCCTTATTGGCAAATGACTCCCTAACACAAAAAATGATACCAGACCCATACTCACAAAAAACACACAGGATGTCACCACCACACATCCACGCAAAAAGCAAACCCAAAGCCACACTGATGATGAGGCACGACCACAAACCAGAAGCCAGACATTAGCCACTTT